CTGGTCCCCCCATGCAGCCTGCTGTTTGGTCATTACTGTGACAGCATTCTGGGAAATGTGCATATTCCTCTACTTTTAGTATAGATTATATATATCTCATTTTATTTATCCATTTATCAGTCATTGGACACTTCGGTTGCTTCCACCTTCTAGGTATTATGAACGTGGATGCATAGATATCTGTTATAGTTCCTATTTTCACTTCTGAATATATACTCAGAAGTGGAATTGCTAGATCATAAGATAATTCTGTTTAATTTTTTGAGGAAATATCACACTGTTTTCACGGAAGTTGTATCATTTTATATCCCCACCACGAATGTCTCCATATCCTTGCCAACACTTGTTTTATGTTTGGGAGTTTTTGAGTAATAGTCATCCTAATGGTGTGGAGTAGTATCTCATTGTGGTTCTGACTTGCATTTCCTAATAATTTGTGATATTGAGCAATCTTTTCATGTGCTTATTGGCTGTTTGTGTATCTTCTTTGGAGAAGTGTCTATTCAAATCTTTAACCTATGTTTAAATTAGGTTGTTTTTTTGTTGTTGTTGAGTTTTTTGTATATGCTGGATATTAATCCCTCATTAGCTATATAATTTCCAAATATTTTCCCTCTTTTTTGGGGGTTGCCTTTTCACTCCTTTGAGTGAGTCTTTTGATGCACATGCTTTTAATTTTATGAAGTCCTATGTTTAATTTTTTTAGGAAACTGCCAGCCCCTTATTTCCAAAGTAGTTGTACCATTTTATACTGCCACCAGTGATATTCAGTATTCCTACATCTTTGTCAACACTTGCTGTTATCAATCTTTTTTATTTTAGCCATTCTACTGAGTGCATAGTAGTATCTTATTGTAGACTTAATTAACATCTTCCTGATGACTAATAGTGTTGAGCATCGACTATTTGTATATCTTTGTGAAATATTTGTTCCAATCTTTAGTCCACTGTTTTGTTGGTGTGTGCTTTTTCAGTTTCTCTCATCATTTTTTTTGGTATTTTATTATATATTTTTTATTAAACTGTAGGGTTGGCTGATATTTCTCAGCTTCTTCATCTGTAGGTAGCAGGTATAAATTCCACCATGACACCTGGACTACAAGATATGCCAAGCTCAGCCCTAAACTTCATTGTCAGCTTTCTAATCTGTTAGTGGGATTCAACGAGAGAACCTATGGCGTTAGCACAGGGTCTGCCACATAGTAATCACTCAGTAAGTGTTAAGCAGAGAGGGTGTTGCCGCTGCTGCTGTTGTAGTTAGTTAGTGTGAGTTACCCACGTTCCGCGTGGTTCAGGGTTCAGGTTCAGGGTTCGAGGCTGCATGCAAATAAAAGAGACAAGACAAGACATACTCATTTGGTAATTGGGGACCAAGCGGAAGCCCAAGGGAGAACTCCGCTTTGCTCTGGCCTTGCCATCCCTTTTATTCTGGTTTGGGATCCACCTATAGCCCCCTTAGGCAGGCAATTTCCAGTAACACGCAGACTATCGCATCAATAAGGATTGACATGACTGTCTGGGGGGAAGTTGCTTCAGCTACCATTGTCCAAACAGTGGGTGCATAGCTCTGATCTTTGCCAGAGCTTTAAAGGTCACCAGCCTTCCGGGATCTCTGTCCACACTTCTCTGTTAGTGAACACAATGGGTGGCTTCCTGCAAGATAGATTCCTCACACCACACTCTGATCCCAGGGAGAAAATGCTCCTCCGTGATCACGTGAAGAGGGAACTGGCTAAGGAAAGTAGCGGTAGTAGCTACAGGTCCGAATGCCAAGAGTGCCTTGTTGAGTTCCCAGAGAAGTGAGTATGGGAGCGCTGGGGCCAAGAAGTCAGACAATGGCAAACCAGAGTGAGGGTGTGGGGAAACCAGGATCTTCACACACTGCTGATGGGGAGATAAAATGGTGCAGCCACTTTGGGGAACAGTCTGACCGTTGTTTTTTTGTTTTGTTTTGTTTTTGAACCAAATCCAATAAATGCAAGATGTAAGTATAAAATAAATAAATACATGCACTGAAACACAAGAAGAGGAGGTCTCAACAGGCCTGGAACTGAGCCTGCAAGGAGTGGGTAAAAGAAGGCAACATTAGACAGAAGAAGGAAATCTCAGTCCCCAGTGCGTAGAGGAGCCAAGAAGAGAGTCTTTCAAAGGTTCTGGGAGCAGCACTTAGGATGCTTCAGACCCAAAGGGAGGAAAGATGTGGGAAGAGATCCAGGGACGACTGCCAGGGTCATTTTTGGGACCGTGAGGCAGGAGCAGGTAGCACCCCATCATAACCCAGGCAGCTGTGGAGGAATGTGGGAGCAGACAGACGAGGCAGTCCTGAGGTGGCAAGGATCGCCCAGGAGAAACTGGCAGTGACCAAGCCCAGAAGACCAGTTGCTGAGATACCCTGCTCGGTGGCAGGTCTTGCCTTCCCCCAACTGTGAAAATAACAGGAGTGCAACTCTTGCCTCGTCCCCCTCAGTGGACTGTGCAAAGAATGTCGACCATAAAGATGAGCTTGCGCAAGGATCATTAAACATTTGAGCGAAACCAATATGATCAAAGAGAGATAAGCCAGAACCTTCCCCAGACTCCCTTGAGGTTAGGTGAGACCATTGACTGAGCTTTATTCAGCCAGTGGAAAGTGAACGGAAGTGGGCACATCACTTCTGGTCTGGTCTGGCATCCTTTAAGTGCCTCCACTCTCTCTCTTCCTCTTTCTGCCAGCTGGGTTTCAGCGCCCAGGGTGATGGTGGGAGTTACAAGATGAAGGAGACAAGATCCTATGTCATCGTCTGTCAAATGAGAAGTGAACTTCCGTGTGCTAAATCACTGAGTTTGCATTGAAATATAGTTTCCTGTTACAGCAGCTAATACTTCACTGATAAGCGTTTACAGTTTAGAACAGTTTCCTTGGCCCTGGCCGAGTGGTTCAGTTGATTGGAGTGTCATCCAGGACACCAAAAGGTTGCGGGTTCGATTTCCAGTCATACCTAGGTTGAGGGTTCGAACACCAGTTGGAGCCCATAAGGGAGGCAACTGATCCATGTTTCTCTCCCTCCCTCCCTTCCTCCCTTCCACTCTTTCTCTTAAAAAAGAAAGAAGGAAGGAAGGAAGGAAGGAAGGAAGGAAGGAAGGAAGGAAGGAAGGAAGGAAGGAAGGAAAGAAAGAAAGGAAAGAAAGAAAGAAAGAAAGAAAGAAAGAAAGAAAGAAAGAAAGAAAGAACACTCAATAGATGAGCTGAACTGTAGAGTACATCAACTCAATTTAAAACAAACAGTGAACTGGACTTGAAGAATATTTCTAGAATACAGTCAAATGGTGCCCAACACCCAAGTTGGAAGGCTTACCAATTGAACAGACCTGGTAATGCATTTACTCAGCACTAACCAGAGGGCAGTTTGACAGGGGCTCCTGTGTTTAGGATTCACCTCGGTAATTCAGACCCCAAACATTCACTGGCAGCATCAACGATTCACATTATTTGACCCGGCAGATGAACATGCAGGACAACCGTCATTCTTTCCTCTGTACTATGTAACAGAAATCATTCATTTTTCCTTGTAATGTGAATTCATTCATGCCTTTGTCCACCCACCCCACCCCCATCCATCCATGTAACAAACGTCCAATCTACTAACAATTATCCTCAACCCTTGCTGTCTCACTGTCACTGATGTTAATCAGCTTAACAATAACCCACAACCTTTGGACCAACTTCATTGTCACTGATGACTTGTCGATGAGAAAGGTAAATATGGGTTCCGTTATTTGGGTGCCAATCAGTATTCTAGAAGGAAATGCTCAGTTAAAAAAAGTTCTAAATAAATGACTAAAAAGAGAAAGGGGAAACGGGGTGGGGGTGGGGGTGGGGGAGGCATGGAGAGGAAACAGGAGGGTCCTGCCCAGCAGAGGTAGGTGAGAATCTTGTTTCCTTGTCTGGGTTTTGATCTGCGTGGGGACAGTCTCTGCATCTGGTCAATCCAGATGGAAGGGAGGGGACAAGAGGGGACAGGAGGGTGTGGAGTTGGAGGAGTTTCGAATTTTTGAACTCTAGTCTGATTCTGGTGACAGAGCCTGAGTTTTCCCCTTCCCCCCACCCATCCCTCCCTCCTCTGACACGTGAGCAATTTCCCTAAGAATTCAGAGTCCAGAAGAGGAACAGCAAGCAGGGGTCAGCTATCCTTCTCTCCCTCCCCTTCCCCCCCCCTTCCTCCCTTCCCCCTCTGCCTCCCCCAGGCCTCACACCAGGTGCCAGGTCTCTCCTGGGCCCCAGGGGAACTGAGTTAGGGAACCTCTCAACCTTAGCACAGGATATTCCCCCTCCCCAGCCCGGGACCCAGGTTCCTGAAGCCTCAGTCCCCAGGGCCCGGGTCTTCACCCAGAAAACCCCTCAGTGAATCCCCGTGGGTCCTATAAGACATGGAAGGAGTTCAGAACAGGCACCATGCCCTCAAACAAGGGCCCAGGGAGTCGCCTTGGGGTGCCAGGGCCCCCCCCCCCCCCCACTGGCCGGAGGAGGAGGGCGGCCAGCCAGCGGCACTCTGAAGCCCGTGGACTCTGGCCTGGCTCCGGCCTCGTGACCAGACCAAGAGGTGCAGGGAGGGGGCCGCGCTGGCCGCCCTGTAACCCTGGGGAGGCCTGGGAGACGGACTTTCCCGTGTGTCAGATGAGAAACGTAGGCTTCCACCCAGTGCCTGCACCCGTGCACTCAGACCTGGGGTTTGCCAGCCGCCTGCGCCCCATCCATCACGGCATCCCTTTGGGGCGCAGGGGGAGAGTCTGGGGACAGGGGACCAGGATGGCTCTGGGGGGTTCTGTGCCTTGGCCTGTCCCCGCGCAGGTGTGACCCCCGACGTGCCTGGCAGGGACCTGGGACCTGGAGGTGCGAGGGATCTGGGACCAGAGGTGGACAGGGGCCACCGCGGGGGTCCCCACCACGGCCACCGGGGTGCTCTGGGGGTTGTTGCCCCGCCCTTTGACCCACGGGGTGCTGATTAACCAGGCGGCCCCTAGGCGGCCGGGCGGACCGCGCCCCTCCGACGACAGCAGCCGCAGGACACCCGGGAGGGAGGCATGATGGAGCGGCCGGTGAGAGTGCGGACTTGGGTGGAGGAGAACCGAGCCTCCTTCCTGCCCCCGGTCTGCAACAAGCTCCTGTGAGTGCCAGGCAGCCTCTCTTCCTCCCTTCCTCCTCCTCACCCCCTCCTCCTCCATCCACACCCTCTGTCCTCACCCCCTCCTCCTCCATCCGCACCCTCTCCCTCACCCTCACCCCCAGCTTCCAGCTCTGCGCCCAGAGCATAGAAATTGGCTGTCATCCTCACGGTGTCTTCAGGGCAGGAGGGGCAGGAGGGGCAGGAGGGGCAGGCTGTTCCGGGTCCCACCACCTCAGTCTGTTCCTCTTTCTGGCGACTCTGGGGCGGAGGTTGTGGCCTCCCCGTCTGAGGATGGCGGGCTGAGTCCAGGAGGGATGCAGAGGGCAGGGGCAGCCCTTCCCCTCCAGGCCCGGAGACAGCTTTCCAACCCCCAGGGCCTCCCAGAAGTTGGGCCCCAGAGTGGCAGCAGAACCCAGGCCTGGGGACAGCCCAGTCTTACCCCATCTCTATCAGGAAGCCACAGGCAGACGGGGGAGGATCAGCCCTCTGGGAGGATTGTGATTTACTGCTCTTCCCTGTTCCCCTCTGCTGGCAGGCGTGAGCCCACGCACACACACAGAAACACACATACACACACACACACACACACACACACACACACACTCCCCCAGTCCCTCCCTAGCCACCCAAGGGGGTGATCCCGGTCCAGGGTCCAGCCGTCCTTCCCCAGCAGACCTCTCAGGCCCTCCCCTGGAGCCCTTCCCCTCCTTGGGCTCCCAGCTCCGGGCTCACGGTCCCATCCTTGGGGTGTCCACGGAACACCTCCAACACCTTACAGCAGACACTTCCAACCACTGACGCAGCGACAGGCCAGAGACTGTGCCCAGTGCTCTAACACCATCTCCTTTCATTGTCACAGTAGCCCCAGGGGCGGGGGGGGGGGGGGGCGTTTAATAGGGAACTTTCCCAATGCCATGGAGCTGGTGTGGGACTGAGTCCTGGCTCACGCCCATGGGAGAGTTTGACTCCAAAGTGCACACTCGTGGTCACTGCGCAGCGCTGCCAGGGCTAACAGCACCCCCCCACACAAAGCCTCATCGCCCCACTCTTACCCCACTCCATCTCATTCTCTCTCCTCCAGTTTCCCCCCTAACGGTGGCTCAGGCCCACCTGCCCCTAATGGTGTCTCCTCTCATGCCCCCAGCTTTGTCACCTCCGGCCTGAGAGTGTGGGCTGACCCCCCCTCCAGGCACCCCTCTCCCCCGCAGCCCTCCAGCACCGCCCCAACAGCAGTGATCACACCTCGCAGGCCCTGCCTTCCGTCACCCAGCAGCTGTCCACTGAGCCCCTGCTGTCTGCCAGGCTCTGCCCCGGACACTAGAGACCCAGCAGGAACCCAACGGGCCAGAGTCCCTTCCTCCGGGAACTGAGGAGGCCCCACTCAATAGAAACCAGAGGAGGTGGGGGCCCAGGCAGAGCTGGGGCCACAGGGCAGGCTAGGGCTGTGAGGAGATTCTGCTCTGGGCCTCTTCTGGCTCCTTCCTGGCGGTTGAGGGATGATCTTTGCACTCGGCTTCCGCGGCATCCCCCCTCTCTACCCTCACCTTCACGTGGTGCTCTCCCGTGTGTCTGTGTCGAAATCTCCCTTTCTGTAAGGACTCCGGGCGGAGAGGAGTAGGTGTCCCCCTGATCCAGGATGACCTCATCCTGGCTTAACCAACTCCACCTGCAATGACCTGTTTCCAACTTGGGGCACCTTCTGAGGAGCTGAGGCCCAGGACTCCGGCATATGAATTTGGGGTGGTGGGAGGCGGGGCAGACGAAGCTGCTGGAAGGTTGTAAGCAGAGGAAGGACATGATCTTGGCTTCCTCGCTGAGCTCAGCATTCTGACCGATGGGCTAGAATAGTTCTCAAGTGGGCTCCTTCAAGAACTTTCCATATGTACCTAGATCAGCGATCTTCAGCCGGTGCGACGCAAGAATTGTTAAAACATGCAGCACCTGACTATGTAGTCAGGGGCACTGACCTCTTTTCCTTTAGATTATCAAAGAAAGAAAGACAAACATCAATAGCCGTCCGATCAGCAAAAAATATATGTTTTTTTGGTGTGCCACAGAATTTTAGCAATTAATTTATTTGTGCCATGAGATGAAAAAGACTGAAAATTGCTGTCCTAGATTATATTTCTAGAAGAGATGACTAAAAAAGAAAAGAAAAAAAAAGTCCTGGGCTCTCCTGCACCCTTCAGGCCAAGACCAAGCTCTTTGGCTGGGTTCTCACTGACTTGGCCCCATCCTGATCCAGTCTTCGCTCCATCGCTCCCCAAGATCACTCCCGTGGCTCCAGGACCTCGTCTCAGGGCCCCTGTACCAGTTCCCCTCCACGTCCTAAAGCAGGTGCCTCGCAGCTTTAGCCCAGAAGTTTAGAGATCTTGAGCACAGCCCAGGCATCCTGATTGAAGAAGAGAGAGATCCACCACCACGCCACTCCCCCTACTGGGTCAGAGGATGGGGAGGACGCACACAGAGGGACATGCCCCCACACGCTAATATACCAAGCCACAGACACATTCTCAGACACACGCAGATTCTCAGACACACACGGGCACCCTGGGATGAGAGTAGAAAAACTGACAGGGACACTCCTAGCAGGTTTGGCTCAGTGGAAAGAGTGTTGGCCTGTGGACTGAAGGGTCCCTGGCTTGATTCCTGTCCAGGGCATGTGCCCAGGTTTCAGGCTCGATCCCTGGTGAAGGGAGGGGGGGGGGGCTGCAGGGAGCAGCCAATCAATGATTCTCTCTCATTATTGATGTTTCTATTTCCCTCTCCATTCTTCTCTGAAATCAATAAAATAATAATAATTTTAAAAAAAAACTGACAGAGACAATGATGCAGAGCAGCCCTGTTACCTCTCCCAGGTGTGCCAGGCTCCCTCCAGGTCCCCCTACCCTCCCCGCCCCCCAAGGCCCCTCCTGTCCTCTCCCACGAGCTGGTTCAGCACCTTTCCCTTCTCCTCCACTGCAGGCATAAGGAGCAGCTCAAAGTCATGTTCATCGGCGGCCCTAACATCAGGAAGGACTACCACATCGAGGAGGGTGAGGAGGTAGGTCTGCAGGCTGCCCCTCCCCTGCCCCTGCCCCAGGGCAAGGGGACATTCCCCACGCCAGGACCAGAGCCATGGACAGGAGACGGGTGGTCAGATGGCTGAGGGTGAAGGGGCTCAAACGAAATCACTGCAACACAGCTGCCTGGGAGGTGTGGGCACCCAGCGACTCTGATAGCGCCATCTCAGAAAGAGCCCACCCTCTGAGGCTACGAGAGGCTCTAGCTGTTGGTGTCACCCCCTGGACACAGGGGCTGATGGGATGCCCTGATCTCCTCCCTCTGAGCCTGAATGTGCAAGATTAGCCTCCAAAATGAGACCCCAATGCTGAGGGGGACCTGGTGCTCCCCTCTGGCCCCAGGAGCCAAGCTCTCTGGGAAGGGTTGGCTGGGAGGCCCCTCCTAATCTAGGACCTACATCAGTGCTGGTAGGAGAAAAGCAGGGGGGGGGGGGTTGCAATTTTCCCTGAATACCCTTTTGTACCTTGAATTTTGGACTGTTTCTGTGCTACCTTCCCCAAAGTAAATAAACACCAGTAAAAAAAAAATTAAGAGAAAAAGATGGGGCCTCTCAAGGAAGGACCCAGACGGGACCCCAGTTATCAGAAGCTCTGCTGGCCAAGGATCACTAGGGGGCCCCCTTACCTATCCTTTTGGGGGCCTGGCCCTGAGGTTCAAGATCCAGAGTCCAGCTTAGTCTCCAGCCTTCACCCTCCCCCTGCTGGCAGCTCTGCCACAGTTCTAGGCGGAGGGAACACGGGAATCACTCACTGGGCAAATATTTGCTGAGCACCAAATGTGTGGGGGGCGGTGGGGGGAGGATCCAGCAGGCAGAGCCGACCAGCCCCTCACCTCTCACACCTCCAGGTCCTGCACCTCCCTCCAGACACAGCTTCTCACAACCCACCTCACCGGAGACCATTTTCTTCTGTACGAAAAAAACAGCAGGAAAACCCAAAACGGCAGAGAGAAGACGGGATTGGGTGGGAATGGCCATAGTGTCCAAGGTCTCTCCTGCCTGCTTCAGCTCCTCCCCCCGCCACACACCAGTCTTGGCTTCCAGAGGCTTCCACTCTGTTAACCCTGCTGTCAGTGCCCAGCTCTCTGTCTCCCTCCCTTGTTGTCCCCGATCACCTCTGCACCACCCCCCGCCTCAGGAGCTCCCTGAGCTGCTCTGATGGATGGGTGTCCACTTAGGGGCCAGGCCAAGACTCAACTTAGCTGGGAGACTGACCGATGGGGAGGACTGGCCTGAGCAGGTGTCCCCACTCTAGGCTTAGGATTTAGGGTCCAGACTCCTTCCTGGTGAGAGAAGGGGAGTCACTGAGCCAAACTCTCCTCCTCGCTGAGCTCAGGCCCCAGCAACAGCCCCTCAGGGGCCCAGGCTCACCCACTGCACATATTCCCCGTAACCCAGGCCTCCTCTTCCGGCCCAGGGGCCAAGGGGCTGGGAATGAGCCAGCCCGGGTGGGACTCCGAGTCCCCCTAACCATGTGCTCTCGGACAGGCCCCATCACATCCCTCTCTGAGCCTGCTTCCTGCGGCTCCTGGGGACGCTGCCCCTGCCTGGTGGACGGAGGCAGTGTCTGTGGAGGGTGTGCACAGAGCCCGGCACAGGCGGTGCTTAGGATGCATCTGTTCTCTGCATCCTCGGCCGCTCCCCCGCCTGCTCTGCCCGCCAGGCCTTTCCAGGCACCAGAGGTCTGACTCAATTCAGTCTCTGCCCAAGGGGACCGTTAATCCTCCCGCCAGCACCAGGCCCCGAATATCATTTACTTCCAATGGAGCATAATTCCTTTTGCGTCGCCCAGGGCTGCGTGGGATTTTCTGCTGCTCTGGATCTGCACCTCTGCCCCAGGCCAGGCCTGTCCCTCATCACACGGCGGCTTCTGGGCAGCGAGACAAGGCGGAGGAAAATTCCACTTCCTTTCTGGGTTTTGGTTTGATGGCTGCTGATACCTCTCACCTGCCTGCACTGGTCTGCACGTGGCCCAGACCAGACCTCTACCCACTCCAGCTGCCCCTGATGTTCGCAGGGCCTCAGGGCTATGGCCACTCCTTCCTCCTCCCTACCATGGAAGGACCCCCTTACACACACACACACACACACACACACACACACACACACATCCCACACACACACACACACACACACACACACCCCCACACACACACACACACACACACGGGCTTCCTCCCAGCTGGCGGGTAGGGTGAGGGGGAGTTGGAGAATTTCTCCCTAAGAGGCCTTGGGAAGTTTTTTCTTATTTGTCTTAAATAACTTGCATGGGTTGTTTTTAATATACAAGTAAATATTGCTTATTGTAAAAAACAAAACAAAACAAAACAAAAAAAAACATGTGAGATTTGGGGGGAAATGTATGCCTTATTCATAATCCCAACACTCAGGGCATCCCACCACTGGCCGCACCGCCTGCATTCACACAGGTCTGGTCACATCATTAGGATCCTGCTGGGTGTAATTCTGAATCTTGCTTTAACATGATAACTTTAGCATTTCCATTTTCCACCTTACTAGTAGTTATTCAAAAATAGTTTTTTGTGTTTTTAAAAAATGTTTACTGATTTTTGTTTTAGAAAGAGGAAGGGAGAGAGAGAGAGAGAGAGAGAGAGAGAGAGAGATCAATTGATTGCCTCCCACACACTCCCTGACTGGGAATCTAACCCACAACCTGGGTAAGTGCCCTGACCGGGAATTGAACCTGCCACCTTTTGGTGTATGGAAGGTCGCTCCAACCAACTGAGCCACATTGGCCAGGGCTCAAAAATAGTTCTTAATGGCTGCATAATGTCCACATTTTGACTCTAACACAAAATAGTGACATTTCCCCTGTTACTACTGTTAACTTGCTTTGCTGTTCCCGCCATCGCCGGAGGTCTGTGAGTGCTGAGTCCGTGGTTTGTGTGCAGAGTCCCAGGCAACAGCATTCTGAGTGGATACTGCCATTTTATAGACAAGGAAACAGAGGCACAGGAAGGCTAACTGAGCTGACCAAGGGCCCGTGGTGACCTGGCTGAGTGAGGGCCAGGTGACGATGGAATCCATGCTTTTCACTGCCATGTGTTGTGACACAGCCATGTATGCCCAGCATGAACAAGGTGCATTACTGACAACTGCTGCCACCTGCCTAGAGATGCAACTACTTGCTCAAGAGGTGACCCCTGTCCTGGTTTATCTTGAAAGTCCTACATCCTAAGAAATCCCTCTGGCCACCCTACAGGAGTGTCAGCTGAGAAGGCTCTTCCTGCCCGTTGCCAAATGTCCTTCAGAGAGGTGTGTCAGCTAGTCCCTTGTGGCAGACTGCAAAGCCACATTTCTCTAATTCCTCTAGTTTCCCTGAGTTCAGTCTGGTCTCTCTCTCTCTGTCTCTCTCTGTCTCTCTCTCTTTCTCTCTTGTTAATCCTCACCCGAGGATATTTTTCCCATTGATTTTAGAGAGAGTAAACGGAAGGAGAAGAGATAGAGAGAGAAAAACATCAATGTGAGAGAGACACATCGATTGGTTGCCTTCCACACTCAACCCAACCCGGGACTGGGGCTCAAGCCTGCAACTGAGATCTGAGCCCTTAACCGAATCAAACCCATGAGCTTTCAGGCCTCGGGCTGCAACTCTAACCACTGAGCCAAACCAGCTAAGGCTGATTTCTCTTAGTAGATGCTGTGACAAGGACCTCTATCTCCTCTGACTCCTTACATCATCATCATCATCATCCTCCTCCTCCTCCTCCTCCTTATTATTAATACCCATAACCTATTTGACAGGGGCCTTTAACACCCACCAATGTGTGACTGGTAGAGAGAAAATGTGTCTGCCTCCTCCTCCCAGCTCCATGGGGTGGTCTCAGTAAACACATTAAGTAGGAACTTGGGCTAGCATTGGGAATATGCAGTAGGAGCCCCCTAGCTCCATCCCTGTACTCCCATCCCCACAACCTTCAACCCACCCCCCTTCCAGCATCATTGAGTCCCCCAATTACACAGCCAGCTTCTGAGGGATCGGGACAGGCACAGCCCAGCCCCATGCCAGGGCATCATGGTGGCCAGAGGAGCCAGCTCGGGCTGCAGAACTACTAGTATATGCAGGCTCGGCTCCCAATTGTGGCTCCAGGAGTAACTCTTGGACAAGTTGCTTTCCTCTCTGAGCCTCAGTCTTCTCTTCCCTTTTCTGTGCAATGGGGCTAATAACAGCTTTGGAGGTTGTAGAGATTTCTGATCACAGACAGGAAAGTGCTTGCACAGCCCCTGGGACCCAGCCAGGTGATCCCTCTTACCTGGCTGAAAGGTCATTGAATTCTCCAGCGAGCATTTCAACCAGCCTCTTGCCCCAAGCCACACCCCAGCTGTTGCGTCCTGGGTATTTTGGTCATCGCTCACATGTCAAGATGTGGTCCCTGTGGCTCTAGCACTGCCTGTGGCCTGCGTCAGGGGAGACTGGGGCCTCCGGGCAGCAGGGACAGAGCTGCTCACACACTCTAAGGCCTTCAGGAGCTTTCTGAGGGTTCCCAGTGAGAAGACGCTGGGGGAAGTGACGCGTCGGGTCTGAGCCTGTGTGCTGTCCTGTTCCGCAGGTGTTCTACCAGCTGCAGGGCGACATGGTTCTCCAAGTCCTGGAGCGAGGGAAACACCGGGCTGTGGTCATCCGGCAGGGAGAGGTGAGGGGAGCTCCGGGGGGCTGGGAGGTGAAGGGTCGCCGGATCAGGAACCTATGGGGTCCACTCATTCTGGCTTTGGCCAAGGTCTTGTCCTCCTGCCTTTCTGCCCGCTGGGCCTGCCCCGACCCCATCCTCGGGCACTTCCTCTCCGGGCTGCCCTATCCCAGCTCAGCCCGTTCATTGTGGGATGGGCCGGGCCCCGTGGGTCACTGGGAGCCCCAGATGCTGCAGGCAGTGAGGTCCTGGTGGGGGGATTGCAGCCTGACTGACACCTCGTCCCCACACACCCCTGCAGATATTCCTCCTGCCCGCTGGGATCCCCCACTCTCCACAGAGGTTTGCCAACACGGTGGGGCTGGTGATTGAGCGGAGGCGGCTGAAAACCGAGCTGGATGGGCTCAGGTAAATGGGGGTCTGAGGCAGAACATGGGGCGGGAGGGGTAGGCAAGCAGCTAGGAAAGGATCGGATAGATGACGAAAGCTCTTCCTGGCCATTGAGCAGGAATGAGGAGGCAGTGGGGACCCTGGATTTGCCCTTTGGTGGGAAGAGATCAGGGTAGGTGGTGGGTGGTTTGATGATGGAGCTGGTAGGGTGTTCTCTGTGACCCTCTGAGACCAGAAGCCTGTGCTGTCTATACTGCCGTCTATTTGGGGTGGGGTGGTTGCCAAAGTCAGGCCCACCCCGCCCAGGGCAGCTCCGAATACTGCTGCTTCCCCCAGCCTCTGTCCCCAGAGTTAGCCGCCAGCGCCCTCCTCTGTGACTCACTCCACAACCAGCACTGACATTTGTATAACACTTGCCACTGGCTGGGCGCCCGCCTGAGCGCTTTACGTGTATTTATTCATTTAGCTCTCACCATGATCCTCTGGGGCGGGTGCCATGGCCAGCTGTACGTTACAGGTGCTGAGACGGGGCCCGGGAAGCTGAGTTTCCTGGAAGATGGCAGAGCTGGCATGATGAATACAGTCAGGGCCAGGACAGTCGGGATAGGATGGGAGTCATTGCCGGAGAGGGGACCAGCTCGGTGCGGAGACGGCACTGTTTCCAGAGCTGAGTTCCAGTTTGGTTCCGACAGTCACCCAGTCATTATCCTCCAAAAGGAGGGTGCGGCCTGCGGCTCAGGGGACACAGATTTTTTGGGGGGTGAGGGAGAAGAAACAGATTTTTACAAAAGCTAAACTACGTTTTGTATGTTTCAGCTAAGAAAATTTTAAATTCCCAGCAAGTTACTAACATCTGCCTTTGGCTACAATGCACATTTTTGTTTTTGTTTTTGCTAATCCTCACCTGAAGACATTTTTTTCCCATTGATTTTTTTAGTGAGAGTGGAAGGGAGAGGGAGGGAAAGACGGTGTGAGAGAGACACATCGATTTGTGGCCTTCCCCAGTGCCCCACCGGGGTCGGAGACTGAGCCTGCAACCGAGGAATGTGCCTTTGACCGGAATCGACCCCAAAACCCTTGAGTCCATGAGCCAAACCGGCTAGGCCATAGTGGACATTTTTTTAAATGCCCCCCCCCCCCCTTTTTTTTTTTTTCTAATTTCCCAAATCTTACACATTCATCCTTGGAATCAGAAAAAGGACACGAAATCATGAACAAAATTAAGATGACCTGTCAAGGACAGGGTAAATGCTACGGTATGTGAATGAGATCTCGAAACAAACAAACAAACAAACAAACACAAACAACAATAATAAAGAGAACACACACAAAAATTGTCATCCCACCCATTACACCTAACAACGTGCTTAAATTTCCATCTTGACTTTTCCTTCTCTGTGTATCTGCACCTTCCAACCATCGCAGTCTCATTGGGAGCACAGGTTGGAATTTTGCTTCTTATACCAGATCTCCTGAGTATTTCTTATACTTTTAAATTCCTTGTCAAACGCACCACGCTAATGGCTACACGCTGATCTGCGGCAGATTAACAGTCCGCGGGAGACGCAGATGCCTGGCCTGAGGCTCTGAAAAAAAATTTTCCCCTTGGGCTCGATCTGGGGAGTCTTCAGCGATGGAGAGGACGGTTTCCTCAATAACGTTTTCACAGCAAATTCAATAACGGATTTCATCTGGCTGCTCTGACCTTTCATAAAAGCCAGGGACTCCGCATTAAAATTCCACTCCGAGGGCAATTTCTGGATGACATCACGGTCCAGTGACGAAGCTTTGGGGTGGCCAGCTCCATCCCAGGATGGAACTTGGGGTGCCGGGTCGGGGGTAAAAGAAGGGGTGTCACTGTGTGTCTGTAGGCAGGACCACTTCCCTTTGGGGGAAGAGCAGGCAGAGCTGACCAGGCCCTGGGAGCTGAACCTGGGGGTTAGGCATCCAGTCACCAGAGGTGCAGTACACACAGGCCCTGAGGCACGCACGGCCCTGTCTGCCAGGTGCTCCTCACGCCAGCTCCCAGGCCGGGCTGGGGGCTTGGTGGGCTTCAGGGAGCCCAGTAGAGGCTGTGTGCACATGCATACGGACCTTCCTTCCCGGAAGAGGCCCAGCCCTTTGCTCCAACACTCAAAGGCATCCCTAAAAGGAGAAGGATCTCCGTCCGGGGGGCATCTTCCACATGCTGGGTCCTTACTGTCCCATGAGCTCTGACCTGGAGCGCCAGCAGGCATACGGAGCATCCAGCACAGGCCCCGGGTTCCGGCTCCGCCTTCGCTTCTGCTTTGGGGAAAATGAAGACACTCGTCGTTGACGCTCTCTGTGCTTCGACATCTGTCTCTGGTCTGTCCTGCTTCTGCCACTTACAGGCCGCGAGATCCCTGCGGAACTGCCAGCTTCTCTGAGCCTCAGAGTCCTGTCCACTTTGTAGCTCCCCAAGTTTGGGGAACCAGGAAGAGCTGTGTGAATGGGGCGGGTCACAGCCCCCTCGCTTTGGGGGTGCACACTGCTGCTGGGAGAGCCGGCTGCGGCCTCGGGGTTGCACTGACAGGGTGAATGACGCGGAGCCAGGCAGGCCCAGAAGTCAGCACACAGAGCTGGGCCCTGGGGAGGCGACCCTGAGGCTGCCCAGAGGGGACACTGGCTGCCCACCCTTTGCTCCGGCAGGTACTACATCGGAAACACCACGGACGTCCTGTTTGAGAAGTGGTTCTACTGCGAGGACCTCGGCACACAGCTGGCCCCCATCATCCAGGAGTGAGGCCCCTCCCCGCCCCTCATTCTCCAGGCCCCGTGCTCTGGCTGGGGGAGCAGCCCCTCAGAGAAGTGCTCCACGGAGCACCTGCCAGCCCGGGGCGGTCAGATTTAGGGAGAAAGTTACCCCTTCCGGGGAGAAAAGGAGGCTGCCCCATGGGCCTGGGAGGGAGCGGGTGGTGGATATGAGTCGTTTGAGGCCCCACGTGTGTGTGTGTGTGTGTGTGTGTGTGTGTGTGTGTGTGTCACTGACCTCTCAGTGGGGAAAGCTGGTCCCTCTCCTCCCTCCCCTCTGTCCTTGCAGGTTCTTCAGCTCTGAGCAACACAGGACAGGAAAGCCCATCCCTGGTGAGGCCACAGGAACTGCCCTCCTCTCCCCTCCCTCCCTACTTTCCCAGAGCAGGATGGGGTTCAGCCCACGGTGATAGGGAGTCCCCTTTTGAGTCCTCTGCCCAGCACTCAACGTACAGGAAGATGGCACCAAATGGTACCCCCCACACGGCTGCTGGGTCCTTGGGCCCTTTCCTGCAGTTGAGAGCTGGGGCCCCTGGGAACTGGGTCTGCTGGGCTGGGAGGGCTGGGCCAGAGGACACTGATCACTGCGGGGCTGTGTGTGGGTGCAGACCAGCTGCTCATGGACACGCCGTTCCCCCTGAGCACACGATCCGTCATGGAGCCCATGTCCTTGGAGGCCTGGCTGGCTGGCCACCGCAAGGAGCTACAGGGGGGCGCGTCCCTCAGCCTGTTTGGGGACACCTATGAGACCCAGGTAAGGCAGCCCGGGAAATGGGAAACACACACACTCATACACACACACACACACACCACATTTTGGAGGTTATGCATTGGCCTTCCTGCTTCTTCCCTGACTCCAAAAATGATGGTTTTGCTCTGAGTAGAGGCCTGCGGAGGCTATGTGGTCCCAAGCAACCTTTCTTTGCCTTCCGAGTGGGGTGTGGCCTCATCCAGCGATAGGTTTGTGGGATCTGGGGTTCCACCCCTGCTAGGAATTCCTGAGCCTTTGGCCAGGCACAGCCTTGGGAGTTGGAAGGGAGAAGCACATTTGGAGGTGAGGGCCGGGTGGAAAGGTACACCGAGAACCCAACAAAGCCAGGCCGGGGGAGTGGGGGCCACAGGCGTGAGCTAGATGGTCAGAGCAGCAGGCAGTGCCCGGGTCCTGGCGGAATTATCCTGGAGACAACAGAGCTTCGCCCACGCATTGAAGATGGGGGATGATGAGGCAGAGGGCTGCTCTAGAAAGACGGCTGCACCCCGTGTGGGCGGGATCAGGAGGGCGAGTGTGGAGGCCGGGAGACCTGCCGGAAGGCTTGTGCTCGCTTGTGCGCTCCAATGTCTACTGGCACATCCTTGCAGTCTGAGTTAAAGCACTCACCCACCCCCGCCACCCGAGAGGTGCTCGCTGGATGCAGACCTGCCTTAGTGCAGCAGGGCTGTGGGAGCAGGCACAGCCCAAAGCCCCGGCCGCCATCACAGCAGCGTCACTCAGCGCTGAGCTGGCCCATGGCCTCACCTTCCGCCTTCCTCATCCCTGCTCCCACCTGCTTCGGCTCATACCAACACATGCCCACCGAGTCCCGTCCGGGCCCGCAGGGGCACGGCCAGCACACTAGCTGCAGGCTTCCAGGCTGATGGAGAGCACAGAGCTCCCGCCTCCCTCTCGCTCACGCCCTCCCCTCTCCCTCCTGCTCCGTAGGCCGGCATTCCAGAGTAAAGGAGGGGGGCGCCCTCTGGGGAACTGTGTGTGTGTGGGAGCTACAGGGTCTGCACTGTGCCGTGCACATGTGTGTGCCCCTGCGGGTATTCCCGTGCGCCAGCAACAATAGCTGTGACGGGCTACGGAGGGACCGGATGTGCATGTGTGTATGGAGGGCAGACATGCACGATCCGGAATGGCAGGTGGGCAGCTCCCATCATGATGGAGGCGCAGCAGGGGGGCCTGCAGCCTCCAGAGAGGAAGGGAGAGAGATAGAGAGTTAAAGGGCATGTACCTTTGCATCACAGAGGGCAGTGGTCGGCAAACTGCGGCTCGTGAGTCACATGCGGCTCGAGAGCCGCGGTTTGCCGCTCTGCTGACTAATGAGTTTGCCGACCACTGCAGGCCCCGCCCCTGGCCCACACAGGCCTGGTGTCTGGGGGCCAGGTTTCAGGGGGCAGGAAGCACCAAAAAAGATCTGTGTCCCTTCCCACCAGGTGATCGTCCACGGACAAGGCAGGAGCAAAGACTGGAGGCAGGACGTGGACATGTGGCTGTGGCAGCTGGCAAGTGGGGCCCGCCGGAGGGGGTGGCACCACCTCCCGCCCTCGGGGACTGGGCTGCCCCTGGGCCTGGTGCTCTCAGGGCCCCCTTGCCAAAGCCGACTCAGGCCCCTCGGACAGCTGTGGGGGCCGGGGAGCCTCCGTTTGACCCTCCTGCTCTTCTCCCCCAGGAGGGCTCCTCGGTGGTGACCATGGGGGGGCAGCCCCTGAGCCTGAGCCCCGACGACAGCCTCCTGGTGCCCGCCAGGACCGAGTGAGTCCGCCGGAGGCCTTTCCCCGGCTGTGGGCCTCCCTCCTCCCCTGGGATCCCCAGGACCCAGCCTTGCCTCACCCCTGTCCACCCGTGTCTCCGCAGGTACTCCTGGGAGCGAGGGCAAGGCTCTGTGGCCTTGGCTGTGATGCAAGACCCCGCCCGCAAGAAGCCCCTGGGGTGACGGTCCTGCAGAGTGTGCTCAGCGCCACCCCGGCCGAAACTCCCACTTCCCCAGCCCCCACTGCTTCTCCGTCTACTGCTGCTGAGGGCCTCAGCGCCCCCTCCCCGGGCCGGGCCCTGGACATCACTGTCGTCCATCCTCCTCCTCTCCTCCCAGACTCTCCCCTTCTCCTCTGCAGCCGTCAGTCCCCTGCCCCACACAGCTCGGCCAGGCAGTCTGTCCCTGGGTCCAGGCTGCCTCTCCGTCTCTCTGTCCTCACGGCCTCAGCTCAGTACTTGTCTGCCGCCCAGAAGGCCCTCAATAAAGGCTTCCTGGTGGCCGAAATCGGTTTGGCTCAGTGGATAGAGTGTCAGCCTGCAGCCTGAAGGGTCCCAGGTTCGATTCCGGGAAAGGGCATGTACCTTGGTTGCGGGCACATCCCCAGTAGGGGGTGTGCAGGAGGCGGCTGATCGATGTTTCTCTCTCATCGATGTTTCTAACGCTCTATCCCTCTTCCTTCCTCTCTGTAAAAATCAATAAAATATATATTTAAAAAAAGGCTTCCTGGCGGATGAGCGCCCGTGGGTCTGCAGCGACACAGGCTATGCTCAACAGCTGACCCCATGTGCTCACATGACTGTGCTATCCGCAGTGTCCGGGCACCGGGTGACTGTGGACGCGTGGTGGGTCCATTAGGGGGCGCCCCTGCTTGTAGAGGGGCTGTCATCACGGTGTGCTTGTGGCCTGGTCCACGCGGGCCAGGGGTTTGTCCTGGGGGACAGCGGATATTGTCTCTCTGCCTCTTTCCCACGTGTTTTTTTTAAACAGCATTTTTTTAAAAAAAATATATATTTTATTGATTTTGTACAGAGAGGAAGGGAGAGAGATAGAGAGTTAGAAACATCAACGAGAGAGAGTCATCGATCAGCTGCCTCTTGCACACCCCCTACTGGGGATATGCCCACAACCAAGGTACATGCCCTTGACCGGAATCGAACCCGGGACCCTTCAGTCCCCAAGCCGACACTCTATCCATTGAGCCAAACCGGTTTCAGCTTAAACAGCATTTTAAAAATAGCATCTGTAAGGGTTTTCCTCCCCATAACAGGCGTGATTTCTGCCAGCTGTAGAACATGTAGAGACATGTAAAATTCCACCCCCGAGCTACCCAGTCTTCATACATGCAGTCCGTGATGAGCCCACAGAGGAAGCTCATCAGAAGAGCATGGCAGCCCTCCCCGGCTCCCCCTGCTGTTCACAGGCGCCCTAACCACGGACAAGGCCCCGGGGGCCTGGGTGCTGGGCGCCCCAGGAGCAGCCGTGGGTAGGAATGAAACATGAAGCCTGTAGTGGGAGATCTAGTCTTCCTGGGGCTTCAAGGAGACGTGGATGAGGGGTCTCAGAAGAGACACCTCTCTGTTCCCAAGGGCTTTCCTCTTCTGGAAGCAAAGGAAAAACACCCCCAGGCTGCCCGAAACTTGCAAACAGCCCAAGGCAGTGAGGGCAGAGGCCTGGCAGGTGCCAGGGCTGCAGCCGTGTGTGGCTCCGTGCGGAAGCCAGCGAAACACAGGAATGTCCCAGGGAGGCCCTGGGAGGGTACAGGTGGCCAGGAGAGGAGGGCGTCCTCCCAAATTGTGCCTAGTCCAAAACAGAAAATAATGAACATTCGATGTTGAACGCCAGCTCTGTGCCAGCGAATTCCCTAGAAGTTTTTACATATCAATACGTTGCCTTCTTTCATCCTCACAACTCTCCAGGAAGGCGGTAGCACCGCTTTGAAGACGCGGCTCAGAGAAGTTTGGAAAGCAGGCCGCTCTCTTTCCGACCAAGGCCTGTCTGCACTCAGCATTCAGGCTGGTGGTCTCACCACCCTGCATCCTGCAGTTGGACGCAGCCTGACTGCCCTTGGCCTTGGCCAGACGGACGTCCAGGTCAGGGGGATCCATGGGAGAGGAGCCAGTGGCCACGATGCCTAAAACCCAGAGGCCTAGGCAGGGTTGGCAGCACATGGCACACTGCGGACCACGGTCAGTTGGCAAGGGCGGGTGCCAGGGCCTGGAACCTGGAACCTCAGCCTCCCCTGGTGCTGTCCCGGGTTGTCAGGCGCCCTAGGATCTTGTCTCTGCCCTCGGACCTGGCCACATGGGCTCATGAGAACGCCTCACCATGGGATATAGCAGGACCTGCACCTGGCCCAAAGCCAGCCCCAGCCTCTCACTCCCCCCTCTTCTGCGCATGCTGGGTGGAGGCGGAGTGGAGTGGACAGTGGACAGGGAAACTCCAGTATTCCCAGGATTGTTCTGTTTCCGGGGGAGAAGCCCCCAGGTCCCCAAATCACAGCCGGGGAGCCTTCTGCCTATGGGATGTGCTTCATTGTGTACTTGGACGTGGGACCATCATAGGCTTTGGAATCATCAGGAATCTGGAAGTAACTCCAGCAGCTGGCAGGACAAAGCGGGCTAGTTCCCCCAGGCCATGCACTGTCAGGTGTATGGATGCCCTACCTCCCTCTCTCTGCACAACATCCTGTCGGGCCTGTAGTCCCCCCACTGGAGCTGTGGGGGCAGGGGGATGGCCGTCCAGCCTGTCATTATGATAGACGGTAGGGATAGTTGTCCAGGGTGGTCTGCAGGACCCTGGAAGCTATGGCTTTCCAGGACCAGCTTCTGCCTTCAGCAAGCAGGTCTCTGCCTTCAGCAAGCAGGTGTCTGACCACGCAGAGCCACATACACTGTCCCCACCAGGTGGGACTTCCTCCCACTTCAGGGTCTCCCCCCTGCTGAGCCTTGCTTCCTCCTCTGCCAGGGGCAGCACCGATGCCTCCCTCCAGGCTGGGTTCAGAGACCCGGGGCGGGGCATCAGCCAGTGTGGGAAGGGAAGGGAAGGGAAGAGAAGGGAAGGCGTGCCTTGGGGTTCCTCTTTGCTATCAAACAGGAACCCTGGGTGTTTCTCCGTGGCTTCTTCGAGGATACCTATGAAAACCCCGGCATCCTGACTCATTGCGGCGGCAGCTGATGGGGAGCACTCATCCCCGCACCCTCCTGGAAGCGGACAGAGGGCACCCTTCTCTCCAGCTCCCCGGCCCAGGCAGCAGCCCATGGAATCCCATAACCTGAGCTCTCCCCTTCCCCGCTGCCTCCCGGCCTCCTCCTCCCCACGGGTGGCCGCGGTCCTGGCACCGATGCTGGGCGCGGAGTTCGTGCTGGGCCTGCTGGGCAACGGCCTGGCCCTCTTCGTCTTCTGCGCACGCACGCGGCCCTGGACCGCCACGGTGGTGCTCCTGGCGAGCCTGGTGGCGGCGGACTTCCTGCTGGTGGCCAGCCTGCCCCTGCGCGTGGACTACTACCTGCACGGCGAGGCCTGGCGCTTTGGGACGGCCGCCTGCAGGGCCAACCTGTTCCTGGTGGCCGCCAACCGCTCGGCCAGCGCCGCCTTCCTCGCGGCCATCGCGCTGCTCCGCTACCTGAAGGTGGTGTGGCCGCACCGCGCGCTCAGCCGGGCCTCGGGGCGCGCGGCCGCCCGGGTGGCCGGGGGGATCTGGGCGGCCATCCTGCTCCTGCACGGGCACCTGCTCCTGGCCACCCCTCCCGCGGGGTCCTGCATCAGCTACCAGCTGGCCGACAGCCCCGGGGCCTGGCTGCGCTGGCACCAGGCGCTGTACTTCCTGGAGTTCTTCGTGACCCTGGCGCTCATCCTCTTCGCCATCGCGAGCATCTGGCGGACCCTCGGGCGGCGGCGCCGGGGCCTGGGCGGCCGGGCGGGCCCGCGGCGGGCGCTGCGGGTGCTGGCCGCCGTGGTGGCCGTCTACACCGCCTGCTTCCTGCCCAGCGTGCTCTTCGGCGCCGCGTCCCACGTGGCCTTCCGCCTGCGCGCCTGCCGCGCCCTGGACGTCTGCTCGCAGCTCTTCCACGGCTCGCTGGCCTTCACCTACCTCAACAGCGTGCTGGACCCCGCGCTCTACTGCTTCTCCAGTCCCAGCTTCTTCCGCCAGTGCCGGGCCCTGCTGGGCCTCGGCCGGGGCTCCCAGGGCCCCGGGAGCGATGAGAGCTCCAGCCAGCCCCCTGCCCGCGCCCAGGAGGCCTCCAGGAGGTAGAAGCTGCAGGCGCAGGCTTCCTGGAGGTCCCGCTGGAGTGAGGGGCTGGAGTCTGCGGCTGTGCACGGGCCTGGCTCGGAGGGACAAGGTCACTCCTGGACTGTTGTCCGCAGAGACTGCCACCATCAACCGGACAGGGGACGCCTGCAGGAGCCAGGTGGGTGGCAGGGAGAGGAGCAGTCGTGGCCTTTCCGAGTCGTGTGTCCCTGGTGCCACTCGGAGGGCAGGAGGAGTCTGATGGCAGGAGCTCTCCCGAAGATAGAGGGCTGGCTGCACAGCTGCCCAATCCCGCCCGGGCCCGGGTCCGAGCTGTTGGCTGAGAGCAGCTGCGTTTTCTCGTCTGTCCCTTTCAATAGGAATAAACTTCCTTTTGAAAATGCAAGCCTCTCTTGGCTTTCTGAAGGAACCTGAGTAAAGTAAATATCTTTGGGTCCATCCAGTCCTGGCACCAGTAGGGTCAAAGGGAATGCCCCACGGTGAAGGGAAACTCTGGGGACAGTGTGGGGAAGCCATCCCGAGTGCCGTGCTTCTACTGGAGCCCACGGTGTCCTCAGGATCATGGGAGGACACCCCTGCTGAGCCCCTGGGAGGCCCCACAGCACTGCTGAACCCCTCCCTCACAAGGCCCCAAAGCCCACTGGGCCCCCGGGGAGGTCTTACAGCCCTGCTGGGCCTGGGGGGCTCAAGGTCAGAGTTTTTTGTCTGCCTTTGTAGCTTAGTGTTTGGCTACTGGTGGGTGCCCAGTAAATGCTGGATGATTAGTGGCCACAGGCCCACCAACCCAGTCCTGCCTGCTATCCTCCCCATCCCCTGTCCCCGCACAGAAGTCCCAGGAGCAGAGTCATGGGTTCCAGTTGCTTGTCCCTCTGAGTGACAGCAGGTGACATTCAGAGCAAGAGGAGAGATAGGGCGCTGTTCAAAATCCACACCAAGTAGACAGCCCGCCCAGGGACCTACACTATTTGGAACCCGGATGAAGAAACGGGGTCTTTATTCAGCCTGCCTTCAGCTCACTTCATACTACCCCGGGCATTGCCCTCTCATTTGTAGACAATCCTGCACTTCAACAGCCTGCTTTCTCCCCCATCTTTTCTCCTCTTCCCCACCCTCTTCTCGCCCCCCCCCCCCCCCCCGCCAATTACTGCCTTCCTCACTCATGCCCTGGCCGTATGCCCGGGTGGGGCTGCTCGAAAAAGTGCTCAGTCCCCAGCCTCCAGGAGTATTGGAGCCGAGGGAGTCCCTGGGA